TGCACTGCTGCTGTTACCACTTTAAAGCGAGAGCTCTGAGAATAAGAAAAATCAAAATACGACTTTTTGATGGATGCAGCTCATGAGACGCCAAATCAGTGTCAATGTAGATGAATGCATTATTGGAGAGTTTTGCTGACCTTAAGGATTCAACCCGAAAACCGTTCGTTTACAACGAACAGACGTAATCCTTTCACTAAAGCCACCAGAGCTAAGTATTAGTCTTCGAAAATCTTAAATCTGGTGATTATCATGAAACGTCCGCCCAGCGTTTTGCACGCAAAGAAAAACGCAGACACCTCAGTGAGCGAATTTCCAAAGGAATGTCTAACATATTTTGAACTGTCTAAAGTTTTGAAAAAACTTATTTACGCATATTCGACTGCCATAATGAGGGGCAGTTACTCTGAACATATATCCTCTCCCTCCGCAAAACTGTTGTTAAATTAACAACTTTTTGAACTGGAAAACAAACTAAGCACCATAAAGTGCTACAATTATTGCCTAATTTGTCATTATGTAAAAAAATTAACTAACCGTTTGCAGCCTTTGACTAGAATTATTCACCGGGAAAACGAGTCACACGAATACAGTAAACAATATTAGTTTGCAGGTTGTAGGATTAAACGTGGTCAAAAATTGCAAATGCAAATTACAAACTTACAAATCCTACTGTTAATAATTTATCTCTAGCCTTCACACCCCTAAGCGTTCAAATTTATCTGCAACAGAAAAATATTTATATTTATTCAATAGCAAAAATATTCAAGATATTATTTTAATGTCATTCCGTCATCTCTAATCCCGTTTCGTGACAAAACAGTCAGCTTTCTGGGTACCTGCTGTTTTGGAACGGTAGAAAGTTCGCATAAAGGCTGTAGCCATTATCATTATGAAGGGGTTAAGAGCTCGAACAGTGTTGAAAGTGTGAAAATGCTTCAAACTGAATCCAGTTAAGAATTCAATGTTATAATTGTGAATCATGCATTTCGGGTAAAAGAAGTCACGTAGAAATTATAGTTGACAACAATTTTCAGCTGTCTCATCACCTGGTCGTGACAAATTGAAAATTACTGAGAGTAATGTGCGAGACTTCAGACTGTCAAAAATGTCAGCTAGTAAGTCATTCAGTCAATTTCGATGATCGTTTGTCGTTCCTGATCGAGTAGGCGAATCCGGCATGCTATGTCTTGAGCTTCGGAAAGTGATTGTCTGAGATATGACCAGAGTCTGTCGAGACACCCTGAGTCATTCTGAACCGTCTCCAATGTCTTTGGTCAGGTAAGTAACAATTGTTTTGCCTTCAATTCCGCATGCATTGGTAAGCGTGTCAAAACCATCCAACTGTAATTTGAAAAATCTCGACTTGTAGAAACAGCTCCTCGATACTAGAGTTCTCTCTTATTTCTACAGTCCGTAACATATCAACACAAATGAAGCCATCGATTCTTCTCAGAAAAGCCGTTTGAGCGCAGGACTTAAATTTATCGGTCAGCGTCCATGGTGAGCATGGATACGAAGATCGACTTGAACGTAGAGGGCTTAGTCCTCAGAGAATATTCAGCTTTACACACGACGGTTCACGGCGGTTCAGCCAGATCGCCGCTGACAATTCCAATTCGCCGGTCGATCTAGTCCCATTTTCTGTCAGAGGTAAACATGGCTAAGAGGCACGTGAATTTCTATACCTGCTCCTCTGGTTTTCCTCTTAGCTGCAGAACGGAACGATTAAGAAAACGATGAAGCACAAAAATTTTTGCTTTGAACACTTTTACCCATAAGATAGTCACGTCTTACTCGGATTTAGGTTAGCTCTTAGTAGAGTTGCGAGTTTAAGTTAATACGAGTAAGTCACTTCAGAGTGTGCTGAACATCTATTTCGGAAGATGGCTCAAACCAAGCTCGTCTGCAAACAACAAACGTATCGATTTCATATTTCTTGCGCTGATATAATCGTCTCCTTGATTGCTCCTGAGTATCCTATCCATGCACAACCATACAGAGAAGGGGACAGAACGCAGACTTAACGAATGTCATTGCCAAAATGCCAACATTTTTTTTTCAAGGTATGTATTGAAGCACTATACTTTTCCGCAACGTCTGCTGTCATCACACTGGATGGTTCCTAGCAACTGATCCTCTATGTCGTACGTTTATAGACATGCCTACAGCTTGTTGCATCTGAACCGGTAAGAGACTTTCTCCAGGTCAGATAAACACATCTAAACTGGATAAGAACACTTCAACGATATGCCCACAACCTGGTGAAATGCGATGATCTGGTCAGCGGTGCTTCAGCCTGGCTTAAAGCCATGTTCATTTTCTGGTGGCTTAGGCTCTTATTTCGTGACACCTGATTCCTAATCTCCTTGCATAAACTTTTCATGGAATATTGCATAAGAGCCTACTGCCTAAATAATTGGAAAACTATCTCCGGTCTCCCTCCTTTCTTGAACAAAACACCTCTGTTCTTAACGCTACTGATGTTTTTCTAGCCTCATGGCGAATTTCATCGACTCCAACAGCCTTTTCAAACTTTTTGCAAGTTCGGTGACTGAGTGTACAGAGACGGTGACATCCGTTACTTAACGCACTTCAAGTAAGATATTTTGCAGTTGTTCTTGGTTGAAGAAGTCCTCAAGGGACTCTCTCCATTTCCGCAGTACGTCCTCGTCCTTGGTGGGAGGATGTCTGGAATTGTCGTTCAAGACTTTAACACTACCTTTCTTTCTATCGCGGAGAAGCCGGACGCTCTGCGAACATGTATTGTCTGTCGATGGAAATTCGCCTCTAGTATTTTCCCCAGAAATTAACTTTCTCTGTAGTCATTGCCTTCGCTGCCGTTTTGTGCTGTTCTTCGTACTGCATTCGAGTTGAAGGCTTTTTGTTAAAAATTTTTTCGAAAGCAGACTTCCAGCTGACGGCCAGTTGTGAACCTGTATTATCCACCGGAAATTCGTTTCTATCACCCCAAAAAGGCAAGCCATTTTAAACTGCCGTATTCGGTGCCAGCATCAGGCAAGCTGCTGTTAAAGAGCCTTTTCGGTTTTGATGTCGACCGTAGTCACCGGGATATGTTAAAAGCGTCATGCGAAGTTTGGTCCTCGCAAGCAGACGACAGTTTAGTTCGTTTGATTATCTCGTGGCTTTTGCCTCCGGATTTTTGAATGGTACTCCATCATTTGCAGCGGATGATACCGCCAATGAGACGCTAATCAATTTACAGTTTTAGCATTTCGTAACGAGAACCCTCATTACAGAACTA